AACAAGTCCCATTTATACCTGTATACATTAAAATTGGGGGCAAAGAATCACTTTAAATGAGTACAAGAACATCCTCTCCTATAACTTGGATGAGGATAGGTTCTCCGTTCTCCAGCTATGATTTTGACCTCCACTCAGCAAGTTCAACAGCATGCATCAACTTGAGCATTTGTTTCATAGTCAAAACAATGCGCTGTTACACACTGTGAATTTAATCTAAAAGTGAAAGGATATAGTCCCTCTCTTCCAACAAGTTAGAAACACTTGGCCTTTTCCTCTCATTTGTGCTATTTTTATACCCATGTAACGCCACTGACCTCAGCTGGATTAATCCTCACTTAAACTAATGTAAGAAAGAGGAAAATCATGGCCCAAACTTTTCACCAGAAGTATGTGAAATTGAGATAAGAAGCTGTCTTTTGATAATGAAATGTATACTCAGCCCAGTACAGCACCTATGGCCTTCCAGCTTATATTAAGTCATTTCCTTCTCTCTGGAGATAAGCTCCACTCTGAAAAATTTATGGAATCAAAATTTTAGGGTTTTTTTTCTGAATTCAGATATTTTTAACAATACCTGGCTTTTATATCATGCTTTTCATTAGTAGATCTCAAAGTGCTTTACAAAGGAGGTAGGTATCATCATCATGCATGTGAGGAAGCTGAGGCACAGAGAAGTGAAGTGACTTGCCCAAGGTCATCCAGGAAACCAGTGGCAGAGCTGGCAATAGAACTCAGTCTCCTGAGTCCTAGTCTATCCACAAAACCTCCCAAGGACTTGCTCAGGGAAGAATGTATCACTCAACTTCTGTATCAAGCTTGAGTTACCTGAGACTACATGCTCAATTCTAGTCTTTCAGCAATATAGAAAACGATAATACTGGGAAGAGATAAAACCTTTTACAGAAATTCAGGAAAGAGCCCAGAAAGTCACTCATAATGAAGCTAGGTGAAAAAGGGATATGTTTGTAGCAATGTCTCTACTGGCTACCGGACTATGGTGAAAAACTGGGATGGATTAATGTAATCAATATACAATGTGAGCATATTGTCAAATGAAATCATGATCCACTAGCAGCACACCGCTGTAAGAGAATCTTGCAAAAAAATCACAGGTCCTCCCTATTCTACACATATACACAGAATAAGATCTTCTTAGTACGTTCATTTAGAACACTAAAACCACCAGCAGCAAAGGTTATTTCTGCTGCAGAATAAAAAGATTATATGGCACCCAGAGCAACTTTTTGTTTTAAGTTTAGAACACCATGTGTTTGTTTACAAAATTTAATACCATTCCCTAGGAATTTGTAACTGTCCATTAATTCTTTTGAATTAAGACAAGATGTGTTTTCTTTGGGTTTCTTAAAAAAATACCTTTACAGAGAAAGATTCCAGCTAGTTACACAGACTATACAATTCAATTTACTATACTATTACAATTTACACAGACTATTACTATTACAATTAAATTTAGATAAGATTTTTTTACTCAATAAGACTGGGGTCTTCATGGTAACATTCAAATTAATTTGTTAGTGATTTTAGGAACTTTAAATTAGTTAATTACCTCCATGTATACTATTTATATTTCCGTATTTTTAAATGTACTACAATAAGTGATGTTTGTAATTAGTAAGATTTTTTGACCCTCTTCTGATCATAAGGAACTGGTGAAAAACTTAAGGAAATAAAGCTGAAAAGAACTTAACCTTTCTTCATATTCTTCCCTAAAGCATTTAAAATTTTTGTCTCAGTTGTCCTCCCTATTTCACACCATTTTCCCATTCCTATTGTTTGTTCCTTCCTATTAATATAATATTTAAATATTTTACACAAAAGAACATCTTGTAAAACAGACAAATTGAAGCGCAACATTAATTGCAAGAATACTATTGTTACTAAAATGTACAGTATTCAGAGATCTGTAAATGTTTTCAGTGAATAACAATTATTTCATATGTTAATGTGCTTTCATTCCACCACACTTTTGAAGAGCTAAAACAATTTTAAGTGATCACAGACAGAGTTTGGACTTTAGGTACTAAACTTTTACATCTGTGCTCATTGACATAGTGATTCCATCATTTTGCAAAGATAGTCAAACTTAAGTAGATCCTCAATTTTTAATTCTTTGTAATGTAGATGACACATGACAGTAAAAAAAAAAAAGAAGCCTACCACTGTAAACCTGTTTATAATGTTTGAAATAGACATTACTGGCCACCTACATCAAGAATGTTTTCATATTAATGAAAGATCAACCTAAAATTACAAATACCGAATTATTTCATCACTTTTAATTTAATATAATTTTCCTATCACAAAAGTTGCTTAAACTTTTTGGCATCATCATATACAAAAGAAAATTTGTATTCATTGGACCTTTCCACATTCTCCTTAATTATTATCACTACTGTTGGAGTGAAGTCTAAAACCGTGTACAGTAACTCCTCACAAAGTCGTCCCGGTTAACATTATTTCGTTATTAGGTATCTGATCTATTAGAGGACATACTCGTTTAATGTCGCACAATGTTCCTCTATAAGGTTGTTTGGCTCACTCTGCTCTGCCCACCCAGTGCTCTGCCGGGGAGCGGGGCACGAGGGCTTGCCCAGTCCGCCCACCCGGCATTCCAACCAGGGAGTGGGCAAGCCCCCGACCCCACTCCCTGGCAGGAGCGCCGAGCAGCTGGAATGGGGCATGCCCCCATGCCCCGACCCCCGGCTGGAACGCTGGGTGGGCGGAACAGGGCCCCCACTCCCAGACCCCACTCTCCAGCAGAAGCTCCGGGTGGGTGGAGCGGGGCAAGCCCTTGCGCCCCCACCTCACTATGTCCCTGCCTCAACCAAGCTTCATAATCATCATTGTACAGTATTACATTGTTTGTTTAAAATTATTTAAAACTTATACGGCATATGTTTATAATGTCTTTTGTCTGGCGAAAAAAATTTCCCTGGAACCTAACCTCCACCCCCATTTACATTAATTCTTATGGGGAAATTGGATTCACTTAACATCAATTTGCTTAAAATTAGAATTTTCAGGAACATAACTACAACATTAAGCGAGGAGTTACTGTAGCTCTCATATTCTAATGGAAGGGAATTCCTCATGAATTTAGGTCACTTGATGATAGATAAGAACTTTTGATATATTGTATGTGAAGTATTTGCTAGTGGTATGTCTCTTACCCCAGTTTCTTGGAGCCTCTCATATGCCAATTTAGCTGTATAACATGATAAGTTCATCACAGTGTTTTGAATATTTCAATACAGTCACGTAGTTAATCTAGATTTGGAAAATAAACCTGTCTAGTAGTTCTTGAAGCAGGTAAGAAGGATAGTTTTGCAGTTAAAGTACAGATCGGGGAGTCAGAAGACTTGAGTCTGATTCCCAGAACGGACAGAGACCTCCTGTGTGATGCTGGACAAATCATGTAATCTTCCTGTGTCTGATTTTCACCCTATTTATAAATTCAGCTACATCCATGCAACTGTACAATCTACTTATGACTAATGTGGTTGTACAGGTGTAGCTGAGGGCATAATTTTACGTAAAGAAAACATATTACTGGTGCTGATTCACAAGATGGAAGGAACAATTTAACTGCCAAAGCCCAGGAAGAGTTTGTGAGGCTGGCAGTTGGAAAAACAACTTGTTTCTTGAAAATGGAACAAATTTGATATGAAAACCAATGAGATATGCTGAGTATGGAAGTCCATTATCAGAGATACCGACCTTGCTCTGAGACTTTTAGGGATATTTACGAAAAAAATTAGGGGGGAAATTAGGGAGGTTGCTTGGATTAGTGGAGGGGTGGGCAAACTACGGCCTGAGGGCCACATCCGGCCCTCCAGACAGTTTAATCCGGCCCTCGAGTTCCCGCTGGGGAGTGGGGTCTGGGGTTTACCCTGCTCCCGCACTCCAGCCGGATAGCGAGGTCAGAGTCCACTTCGTGCATGCATACCGAGGCTACCAGAAGCAGCAGCATGTCCCCCCTCCAGCTCCTATGCAGAGGGGAGGCCAAGTGGCTCTGCGCACTGCCCTGTCCACAAGCGTCACCCCTGGAGCTCCCATTGGCTGGGAACAGAGCCCTCACCCCGCCCCACCCATGCCCCAATCCCCCTCCTGCCCTCTGAACGCCTTGGTCCCAGCCTAGAGCACTCTCATACACCCCAAATCCCTCATCCACAGCCCCACCCCAGAGCCCGCACCTCCAGCTGGAGCCCTCCCTATTCCCCCCACCCTCCGCACCCCAACCCCCTGCCTCAGCCCAGAGCCCTCATCCCCTCCTGCACCCCAACCCTAATTTCATGAGCATTCATGGCCCACCATACAATTTCCATACCCTGATGTGGCCCTCGGGCCAAAAAGTTTGCCCACCCCTGGATTAGTGGCAACTCTCAAAGGTGCGATGCCAAACACAAATACGGGGGGCCTGGGGTAGTGCTTTAAATGCTTGCAGTGCATTTTAAATGCACTTCTGTGAACATTGTAGTAATAACAGTGGTACAAACTGAGGTAACATTTTATTTAGTAATACCAGTAGCCATGACCAGGTCTGACCATGATATTGGCCACATCCTCACTGTTTTACAAGCAGGTTTCCTTGCTTAGTCTTGCCCAAGAATACTTTGCCAGATTTCTCAAGTACACCACTACCCCGATATAACGTGACCCGATATAACACTAATTCGGATAGAACGCGGTAAAGCAGTGCTCCAGGGGGGTGGGGCTGCGCGCTCCGGTGGATTAAAGCAAGTTCGATATAACGTGGTTTCACCTATAACGCTGTAAGATTTTTTTGGCTCCCGAGGACAGCGTTATATCAGGGTAGTGGTGTAGCAGGGTTGACCAAGTGAGTCCACTTTAATGATCATCAGTGATTCCAAACCTTTATCACCAATGTTTTTTCTGAACTCAGTTTGTTTCCTGCGCAGAATACAAAATTCTGTGTCAGAGTTGCTTAGAAGAATTACAGGGATAGCTTTCATTACCTGAGCCAGAGCATTGTATGCTGTTTTGCCATAGACTTCCATTATCTGTGACATGGTATGCCGTTGTTCATCACAACTGGTGCACACCAGAACAGATGACATGTCATCGATCTGGTACCAAGAAAACCGGGCTTCTGTAGTGTGGCTTGCTGTGAATGATCCTTCAGCAGATACAGAAATCACTGCATGAAAAACCCAAAATCATAATATGTAGCCATCATCCTCAGTGCAATTTCAGCATTTCTGCATGTAGTTGTACAGAATCAAGCAGTGGCAGTTTCCTTACTACCTATGTGCATGCCTCTAGTAGTACCAACAAAGTGAATAGAAGAACAGCTTCAAGTCTCTATCGGTCAGCCTTGCTGTGTTCTCTGAAACACAGATGATGGATGATTGCTTCCACTGAGTTGTGTCTGATAGTTATGTGCCTTGGATCCAGTCATATCATCTCATTGTCATCTTTCTCATTAGAAGTGAAATTGTACTGTTGTCAGGCACTTTGCTTCTATCGTCACTGAGGACTTGACGAATATGACAGGAAGTTCTTTCAGAACACTGAATAACTGACATCTGAGCGTGAGAATCAGAGACTCCTCTTTTTGCAGTGCTCAGTTTGTCAAAAATTGTGATTGTATAGTCTAAGAACAGGCAGTAAGGTTTCACTTGTGAAGAAATCAGCAGGTCTTATACGATCACGACTTTCAACGCCCAGTTCTGCAGCTTGTTTTTGGCACAGCGATGGCATCCGATGTCAATTTAGTTGCTTTGTCATGTTTGGCGTCAGCAACCTAATCTGTATGCTTGCAGTCGCGATGCTTTTTAGATAATCTTTGTTTTGCTGCAATGCCGTTTCGACTTTGATAACTGGCTATGCGTCGCTGCTACTCCAGGTTCAATTTTTGATTGTTGCTAATAAAACTGATTTCAGCTCTGCGTGGCCCATCTTGACTTTCACTAGGTTGTCACTTTTGGTCTGGTTTTGTGGCCTATCACCTCAACACAAGACTTATCAGCATGTGTGTTGTTTTTTATGTTGCTGCAAAGGAAGACAATGTAGACTGATAGTCATAGCTTTGCACCCGGTGCCCCAAGAATGAACTTCCAATTTTGCTGCTTCAGTCCAGAAGAACATGGTGAGTAGTTCCCACTGCTGGATGAGCTGAGTCAGACACAGACCACGCATGTGCTTGCATGTTTCACTAACTTATAGATCTATATATCACACAGCTTCTAACACATGATGAACTCCTGGTGATGCTCCATGCTCTGGTCAAGAAAGAGTAGATATCAGTAAGAAGTTCATCTACAGTGATGGACAGGAACTTTGTACTTTTCTCACCCACAATGTGCACAAGATGACATAGGTAACTCACAAGACAGACAGACCACTGTTGCTCTCGAGAAATGGTACAACACCCATCCTGAGAGAAGCATGGTCATTTTCAAAACCTACATAGTTTGACCACAGGCTTGCCCTGGTCTCCACATTTGAATTCAAAAGCTGAAAAATATTCTGTCCAGTGGTACTTTCTGTACTGGTTAGAACTGACAGCAACAAGGTGATCATTTTATTCTTGCTGTCATCGAAATGTATACACACACACACACACGCCTGCTTGACCCCATGGCACTACCTCAACCACAATTTTCCTGAGGGGGCCCAAGAGGCACGCACATGTATATGAGATTGCCCTCTTCACATAACCATGACCTCTCTCTGCTTCCAGCCCCGTCCACTCTCCCCAGAGAAACCAGGACTTCTCTTCCCCCCTCCCCTCTGAAACCAGGACCTCTCCTGCTTCCCCTCCCCACATATGGCTAATAGGGGAGGGCAGGCAGAGCCAGGAACCCTGGGCTCTCCCTCATTGGAGGTGGGTGTCAGGGGGGCAAACAGGCAGAAGGAGAGGATTGGCCCTGGGAAAGGTGCCATCCTATATTGCCAAGGGCCCTAAATTACCTTGGCCAGTCTCGGGCCTGGACCTCCTTCCCAGGCTAATCCTCCTCCTCTCCTCGCTCCTCTGTCACATTTCGTCTCTCCTCCTCTGCTGCTGCCACCTCCTCCGGCCCCTCCAGCTTCTCATCCTCCACAGACTGCTCAGTGAGGATCTGGTAGAAGGCAAGCACCCAAACCACAGGCTGCATGTTGCATTTTAACTGCACTGTGGGCTGTGCTAGACTACATTAATGCGCTCTAGGCATCTAGAGCACACCAGCAGGTCCACATGGGGAAATATACAGCCTGTGACTTGGGCAGTATGGGGCAGCACCCCAACACATTCAAAATTGCTGTACCTTGCCTATCAGTGACCCCCCACTGCACAATTTCTGCACATGTGCTGCAGAGGGCCCCCCCCCCCCCGAAGTTTCTCTTAGAGTATGTTGGGGGTGGATCATCCTGCCCCTCCAGGAAGTAAGTTATACCAGGTCCTTCAAGCCCCAGCCCCAGGGGAAGAATGGAAATTCATACCAGGTCCTTCTTGGTTTCAGAAGGGATCATGTCTGTTTCTTCTTAGCCTCAGCCCTGGGGAGAAGTGGGACAGGAGTGTCATACTCAGTCCTCCTGGCCCTTGGCAGGGTTCAGAAAGATGAGGCACCAATAGTTGCAGGTGGCACTGGAGTAGGGGCGGGTGGTGCTAGATGTGGTGCCTTGATGTGTCCCAGATCTGGAGGCACCCAGTACTCAGCTGTGTTGGGAGAGAAGGCACAGGGAACCAGCGCATCATCACCACCACATGCTGCCGGTACTCTCAATCCAGCCCTCTACTCCCTGTAGCAGTGTTGCAGCAGTCAGTCACATGTTCAGACCCCACACTGGCCTGGGAAAGGCTCATCCCTCAAGGGATCTCACCAACACAACCAAGCCCTGCAAACATCCCCCTGCCAGGCCAAGAAAATGGTACGCATTGTGTCCAACGTGCATATGGACAGACTATGGGCGCTTCTGCACAGAGAGGCCAGCGGCAGAAAAGAACCCCTCAGCTACAGTGCTGTGTTGGTCAGACCCACGTACCTAATCCTCCCAGTTTTTAATGTAACTGCAAATTTGAAGATTTAAGACTCATTTAGTAATTTCATAATTACCTTTTAAAACTGGAGGATTATGGAAAATTAAGGAGGGTTGGAATCTCGGCAATATACATTTTTACAATGCCACTTTTCAAAGTAGAACTATGCTTTAAGTTTATCAGAGGAGCCTTAACTCAGATATCCCTGACATCAGAAGGTTTAAATCGTAAGCAATGTTGAATTAATATAGAGGTATCTCTTTTCCACAGCTATTCCTCAGTATATTTATATACTATCTATACTGCTACTCTATTTGTATTCCTGGGGATCATTGAAGCCCAATAATGAAAAATCTTTTTCTTTTCCATTCACCTGCAGTACTATCTCATCACAAATATAAAATGCAAATGATATTCCCACCTTCTATATTAAACATTTCTCTGAGAGTTGCTTATAAAACACTCTGAAGATGAAAAGCGCTATATAATTATTTCAGTATTAGGGACAGACTGTTCAACTCAAAGTAGAGATCACCTACAGATTGTTGCTCATAGATATTCTAAAGTCAACATTCTCTTCATTAATAACTTAAAATTAAGTTAAAATTTCCTATAAAAGGACATCTTATTAATATTTTACAATTTTGTAACGTACACAAATGTGATTGCAGGAATGAAATTTGGCAACGAATCTGTCTTTAATGAGAACCAAACAGTCAAAAATGTTTTGCATTCCTATAAATCAAAAGCAGATTAACCGATTTTGGGGGAGAAAAAAGGGAAGGGGGTAAATGGGGACGATTTTCTACCAGGTTAAGACCAAACATGCCAGTTTTCAGGCATTTTTATTCCAAAACTATGAGTGAATGAAAATATGGATTTTAATGACACATTATCACTGTCTTTATTGTAGCAACATTAATATTAACGACAGTCACTTATTCTAACACATGAACTGGAAAGGTTTTATTGTGAAAAACAGGTCTGGGAATACCCTCTTCAGTAAAATGTAAACTGTTAAATCTGAGATTTTATTCGATTTATTACAGCTGTTCTACTGTTTATAAAATGTAACAAGGTCTTTACAGTCTGGGATTCTTTTACATATTTTTTAAATCAGGTTGGTACAAAACAGGTTGTACTGATCAACAGAAATTTGTTTGATATCTACACAACTACAAGTTTTCTAAGATTAAAGGCATTGGACTAGTATCATACAACAAATGTATCTAAGGGGGATTTTGATGTATGTGTAATCATTTTCAAGAGACTGGGACCACAAAACAAATTTAATGGATGATTCAGTATAAGAAAAACATTGCTAGAGCTACAAATCAGACATGCCATTTTCTAAGATGAGTACTCAGCCATAAACATAACAGCTCTACAATTGTACAGAAATACTAAAAACACACTCAGGGAAAAGGAAAGATATTAAAGAATAAGAGAAAACAGAGACAACATGAGAATGATGAAAAAGAACAGAATGAACAAAGATGAAACACAAAGAAAAATAGTGTGTAACAATCAGTGACCATGTATATACAGACATAAAACATATGTGCAACATGGGGAATAGAAATCTTGATTTTCTTTTCCAAAATCACAAGACTTTGTCACTAGGAAAATCTCCATTGGCGGTAGACAGTATTAGGGTTTATATCCACTTTACAAATGAAACACTAGAGGGCAAGAATTTAAGAGATCTATTTCTATCCAAAAGATGGCAATGGTGAATAAATATCAGCCCATACATTACGTAAAGGTGGATGGGGAGAGATGAGACAGCATGAAAGGAGAAAAAAGAATAACCAAAAAGATAAGATGAAAGACAGGAGCAGAGACGAGAGCGTGTTGTCTATCCCAAAATTTACAAGACAATGATTTTCATAGGCCTGTCACTAATTTTAAAGTGTCCCAAATTTACCTGAAATAGGACCTGTCACCATAATGTTGTGGCACAAACAGTGTCATCCCACAAAGATCAGAATGTGAAAACACCAACATAAGAAAAGCAAAATGTGGGTTAAAACATACATAAAAAATGGATCCCCTATAAAATAGTGTCTTAACAATCACAGGTTGGAAAGCTTTACCTTCAGAAAAATAATTCAGGCGTTTTTGAAGTGTCTGGAATGATAGAGGTGGTCTGAATCATCATCAGTAAAGAAGAGAGGGACTGGCATTATATTTGCTTGCTACCTATTTTTCAAGTTTTCTGGAAGGTGGATTTTTGAAATCCCATCTACAATTGTGAATAAAAACCTCAGACAAACTTGGCTGCTTCTCCTGAAACTTCTTTTGCCTCCATTTGTATCCCTCCATTAGCTCCCACTTCTCTATGTTTGATGCAATAAACTGCTTGTATTCACTTTCAATGCCCTTCACAGTCAATCCCCACCCTACCGATCAGCTCTCATTTGCTATTGAGCTGCCAGCACTCACCTCCCCTCGGCTCATGATGCTAGCCCACTTGTTTAGTTTTATTTGTGCTTTCTCCCATGCTATCCCTGATGCTTGGGAGGCCTTCCACATAAACATCTGCAAAGCTACCTCATTATCCACTTTCAAATCCCTCCTCAAAACTCTCCTTTGTCATGATGCCTGCAATATATTTGATAACAGTTAGGCTGCTGGTTTATGATGACCACTACCTATTATGCTGACAAATACTTTATCATTTTTTCTTTATACTCCTCTGTCTGTCTTTTCTCTTATACTTCAGATTGTAAACTCCTTGGGGCAGGCACCATTTGTGGTTGTTCTGGTTGTACAGTGCCTAATACAGTGGTATACCCTGGTCCATGATTAGGGTTCCTAGGCGCAACAGTAATATAAATAATTTCAATTTGAAAAAAAGATTAGATACACTGTGGCAAAAGATGCATATTGACAGTTTCTGCCCTAGAGCACAGATGTCTCAAAATGTCAGCTTACACAGTGCAAAAGTTAGGTTCAGATTGTGCTAGACCAGGCATAACAAAGTTGCAAGTTATTTTTTCTCCTCTCAGTAATATATCTTTTGGATGGGTATTTGTATGCTAAAATTGTATGCTAAAATTGTATGCTGTTGGCATGAGGCCTAAAGCCATTTGCTATAAACGGTAAAGTGACTTTATGATTCCCACTTGACACCCTAATCTGAAGCTGGATGGTTAAAACCATTGGTAACAGATACAGAGACTTTCACCATTGTATTATGAATTCAAATCCAGTCTTTGTTAGTAACTGACCGAAACAGACCAGTTGTTTTCTGATGGTTGTGACCTATGTGAAATGAATATTTACATACATTGTCTCCATGCAGTTCCTAGTATATACATATCAGAATCACAAGTCACCCCCATGTTTGACAGTAATTGACAACCTTGTTGGCTTGCTCAAAAAAGCTCAAAAATAACCAGGGCAAGCTGACTTATCTTTTCTCAGCTGCAGAACAAGGACAAAACACAACAGCAGTGTAGCAAGGAGAAGCTAGCAATGCTGTATGGCAAGCAATGTACATTAATGAATATGAATTTATGGTGAAGTACAATGACACGAGTCACAGTGTAAACTCTTTCCATACAACTTATACAAAACGTTACAAATACAGAACCAAATACAGCCCTATTGCTATACTGTATATAATAGTAATAGGAATGAATTTGGTCTATAATGTCTTCCCTTCCTTACAGGCAAAGTGTGAGGTTTAGTTCACTGACGTTTATAAAGAGCTTTACTATGGTCAAGTGGAAGACGCCCAAGAAACACAAATTTTTATTAGGAACGGAGTACATCCTGGCAAAGTTAACCCCCCCACCCCACGTTTTCCAAGAGCTGCAAGGGGTTTAGAGATGTGATTCGTGTTGACTGGGGAGTCAGCAAGCCGCTGTGTAACAATTTAAACGGGCATCATCAGCTTGTTAACCTAGTGAGTTTCAAGCTAGGGAGAAGCAGCCCCGGGTGCCAGGCTTGCCGCACTCGGCGCGAGGTCTCCGAGACCCTGCCCCGCTCGGGGCTGCCACACCCCTAGGGGAAACCAGACGGCATCAAACGCGTCTCACCGGCGCAAAGGGACCAAGCCGGGCGCAGCTGAAGAACATCCCCGGGCCTGGGCGCTGCCCGGAGCGAGGTGCGGGTACGAGCGCAGAGTCCCGTCCCCAGCGCGGCGCTCGCGGGAGGGGGGGCGGCAGCAGGGCCTCGCAGCGTCCCGACCGGAGCCACAGCGGAAGGGACCCGCACTCGTCCCCCGCGACCGGGCCCGCACGGAGCGCAAGACACGGGCTCCGCACCGCCCACCTAGCGGCCGCAGAGCAGCCTCTGACCTCACCGCCCGGCGACTGGGGAACACGCTCCCCCTCGACCCCGATAGGGGAAATGACCCCGCCCCCTCCTCTTACCCCGTGGCTGCTGGTCTCGCGCCGCGCCGCCGGTTTGGAAATTTCGCGCGCCCGGGGACGCCTACGCTGGGGTGACGCCACGACGCCTTTCCCCCGCCCCAGTGAGCTGCTCCTAACGCGCGTGCGCGAAGGGCTGTGTTGGGATCTGACCCCCTGTAAGGGCAGGGCAGCCGTGGGGGCGGCGTGGAAGAGGGACGGGGATGGGTCGGTACGTGGGGCCTGGAGGGGAGTAGGGAGCATGGGGTGTGTAGGCGGGAAGGAGCCGGGCAGGACTAGCTGCATGGGAAGGAACGTGCCATATTTAGGCAAAACATCACCATTATTTTAGAATTACCCCCCGACTGACGCCCACCCCCCTTGAGCTCCACACAGTACTTGTCAGCTCTCTGGTCTGTTTGCATCCTCCTAGCCCGCTTCGGGTCGGTACGTTTCGGGTCATAGCTGTGACACTAGTTTACCATCTCTTTAACAGTCGTGCTTAACTTGGATGCTCCTAGGAATGAGGTATTCCAGAAACAAGTGCTGCAACTTCAACACGAACCGGGTGGGCTTACAACAGGTCACACTCAATCACTTAAGCAGTCAAAGCTGTGGTTATGTTATTTATACATTTAAAAAAACATTGCGCTGCTGTGTACATGCACACACTTAACGAAAGTATTGCCCTAAAGAGCCAGATCATACTCAGTGAAATAGTTCCCCTCATTTTTACAGAATTACATAGATGAGTAAAGCAAGATTTGACTCTAAATATAAAACTGAGGAAATAGGCTAGTTCATATGACTGTCAGTGGGATAAGGAAACTCATCTTTAATTGGCCTAGACTGTTAGTAAAGGTTGTGATTGATGTGCTGATGGTTATTCGGTAGCCTGTGTAAGATAATATCTAGGTCTTCTATAACACTTTTCATCAGTAGATCTCAAAGAGATTTGCAATCTTTAATCCATTTTTCCTCACAATACTGCTGTGAGGTAGAGAAATGTTATCCCCATTTTACAGATCAGGAACTGAGGCACAAAGCAGCTAAGTAACTTAGCTAAGGTCACATAGGAAACCTGTAGCAGAGCAGACTTTGAGGTTAGTGCCTTAACCACTGGACAATTCTTGGTAGTTTTAGTCCACTTCCTAGGAAACAGGTGACCCTATCATACCACCAGCAGTTTTTCTAGTTTCTGATTACTACATGAAGGAAATCCTCTGCTTAATTTTTCCTCCTCCTTTCTTGTCTTTTCAATGCGGGTTGGGTCATTCTGACTTTAAATGCCAATAGACCTTTTTCCTTCCCACTTAAGCCACCTAGAAATGCAAATATTACAGGTTCTTATTTTAATTTTCTGAGTTTCTATTTGTGTAAAATAAGAGGTACATTTTTCCTCTGAAGACTGAAATGTTGTATTGGTACGCCAATGAGAGAATATGCACTAGGACTGTCTGCTGCCCCTGCTAATTTTGTTTAATATATTAATTATGAAAGGGCCAGATTCTGCCACCTTATTGTTACTCTGAGTGTTATTTTGATCCTCAAGTAATCCCACTGAAATCTCTGACTCTGTACACAAGTTTAGTACTTAGGAGTTCAGCCCCTTCATCCTTTTCTATGCCATTCATATACTCAGACTTTTTTTCACTGTTTTATTCACTCTCCTAATTTCAGTCTAGTTATCCTCATTCACTATTTCCCCTTAATTCTTCCTCTTTTTCCTCTCATTCAGTCTCCCTTACAATCACTCAATTCATGCTCAAGCTCTTCTTCATCCCATCCTTCTCCCCAGTGCCTTTCTCTTAACTCATTTCCCTTTATCTCTTATTCACATTCTACTCTGTCCCACGCATCTGCTCTAAACCGCTTCGCACATTCATCCACTTACACACACCTGCTCAGACTCATCTAGCTATCCACTCACATCCTTGTTCCTAGCCCAACCCCAGTCAAGAATTTTTGGGCAACTTTGCACCTGTATTTCCCCCATCTCCCATTGTGAAAAAATCAGAACTGACTATATCACTCTCTCCCTCCTTCCTCCTTAACAGAGCAGTGACATTAAATATGTCTGATCTAAAAGTCCCTTGAAGTCAGTGGAAAAACTCCAAATGACTTCAATGGGCATTGTCATAGGCCCTGAATTTTTTAACACTTATTTGTGTCAGGTGTTTAAGATGGTTTACATTACAGTCTGTAATTGCAAGAATACCACTTGCAGTTAATAATAAAAATATTACTTACCTCTTTCTCCCCTCAGTTTAACTATTGCTTATACTAATATCTCCACCTGTTAATGTTTCTTACACTGTTTTTATATTTTTTATCAAATCACCATTGCCAGATGAATTTAAAAGTGTTGGATTTTTAAATTTTCAGGTGCTTTTCTGGGTAGTGGCAAATTGCTTTTCAAACAAGATTACATTCTTAACTCACTAGTACAAACTGTCTGGAATGTTTCCACATATCCAGTACATCTGGAAAACACAACACTGGGCTTTGGGTGTAATGCCCACATTCACACTGTGACTCCAATTCATAACTTGTGACTTTAACTGTTCACTCCTTCCCTTTCTTGTCAAATAAAATCACAGTAGAATTTATATTTATTTTCTATCATCAATTGTGTTAATTCTTACTTAGATGTCAACATTTATTAACTCTTTAACTGATGATCAATTTAGCAGATGCATCCAGCTATTCTAGTATGATGGAGGGAGTTTGAGTAGGATACCATAACATTTTTCCATTTGGACCTTGATACATCATTGGTTTGATCTGAAGTTATAACCTATGTTTCTGTAGTATGAGAAAAAAGCTGCCTTTATTAATCAACCTATCAATTACAATATCAATATAATCTTCTTGTATGCCAGTATTTTTATTTTGGCTCTAATCCACCCACAGACATGTAACTAAAGATCATTACAACATGGCAGAAGTTGTTAAAAATACACAAGAAAGTATGGGGAGAAGAAAATTCCATATGAAAACAGTCATGGGAATGATTATATTTGAAATAGGTAAAAAAAAATAAGAAAGTATTGAAGGGAAAATGATCAGAAAAAAATAATAATGGCAAATGTCAAATACACTCTAGTGATTCTATCTGTGTATATAAAATGTGCCATTCTACTGGATGGAGAAATATATAGAGAGATTGCCTGATAGTATGATTTTGTTTTATTAACACTCATTTGGGGTGGCCACATTACAAATGATAATGTTATGAATGAATTATGTATGCCATCTCAAGTGAATGCCAACAGAACTTTTATACCATATTATCATGTACTCTCTATGCAGTTTGCCACTGTTTTATGGAAAAAAACGTGTTTTAAAAATATTATTGGTATTGTTTTTCATATCCCTGTGCCTATAACATCAGGCACCTTATTTACACATAGTCCAGCAGTCCAGGTCTCAAAGAGAAATATAACCAATAAATCTTAGAATCTTCTAAAAATTATCTAAAATAACATTCCTATACATAAGAATGCCATGACTGTAAGGTTTGCTATCTCAGGATAGGATTTTCCAGATCTAGGGGCAAGTACTGGAAACCTGGGAATCTTCCCTTTCCAGTGGTTTAAAAGCTCCCATGTCTAGCCCTGCAAGTTTATGAGCTATACCAGACCTTACAATTTTCTTTGGTGCAGGACTAAATGCTCCCATCTTGGTCCTTGGGCCAGCATAATTTGGTGGGGAAAATTCCCTAGTGGGGGGAGGAGGGGGGGGGGGAGGAAGGAAACATCTCTTTGGCAGGTTTTGAAAAAAAAATCACAGCTGTTTGAAGCTGCTCAGAGGTTTGGAATGTTAGAAGAAATACAGCGGGAGTTAGATTAATGGGCCAAAGTGCAGGTGAGGCACTCACAGGTGCATGGCAAATACAATTTATCAATGCATATATGGTGTAATTCATACATGTTACAATCACCAGCTAAATAAAACATGCAGCCTTAAAGAGCCAAGACCTTGGGCTTAAGAAACAAAACAAAAAAAACACAACAGATCTCTGTCACATTAACTAAAGGAGTCTCTCCAAGAGAGATCATGTGATATAGATCTGTGGTTTGTTAGGACAGTTGCTACAAGGTAATATAATCACAAATACGTGAGAAGGTCTGATTCCATCCAGAGAGGACAATGATGCATATATATATTGACCAGTATATTAGTTGACTGATGTTTATACATCATTTGGTGAAGATTTACAAAGGCATATTTGCCATTTCTAACTGCCATTTATGCCTTTGAAAATCTTCCACTTTATATAATGTATTTCTTCTATCTTGCATTAATGCCTTCAAATGGGGTTTTGAACTCCTTTCTTCCAAGCATCGCAGCTGTTTAATATCCAAGCCCCTGACTCTTGTGAAGCATTCACTATTTTTCTGTGGTCTGTGTGTTATTTCATTTTTCTGAATCACCTATACTTTATTTCTGTATTTCCTATAAAATAAACCAAAAATGCCTCTCAGCAGAGAGGGGTGAATTTTTCTCTCTCTGCACAAGGTTCTGTTAATTTGTCTGAGTGTCTCTGAAATGGGAAAGTTCACACGCAATCTGTTTCCCAAAATCTTGATGCTGCTTCTGAGAATCATATTTCTGCAGTTTTAATTTGTTTTCAAGTTTCAGGCTTTTCTGTGTGCTGTGATAGTCCTGCCTAATCATCCAGGGAAACTAGGGACACTACAGTGTACTCTATAGCCAAGAGGAAAAAACTAAACTTTTTTGTCTAAACAACAGAGCTGCTTGACTATGAAGATTAGTGTGTGTGTGTGTGTACGCACATTTATCATCACTGCAGGTAGGAGAAAGCATTTTGTCTGACGAAGTTATAGCAGTGACTCAAACCAAACATAGAAAAATAACACAGCTATTACTGTCTGTGCAGGACTGAACTTGTTGGGGTATGTTGGGTATTGCTGTCATTATACCATGGACCGGAATGTCATTTTTATACAGCTAGACATTGGACGCTAGATCCTCAGCTGATGTAAATCAGTGTAGCTCCATTGACTTCAATGAAGCCACACCAATGGTGGTTTTTCAATAAATAAACATTACTCTGCAGTATTTAAAACCCAAACAA